AGGGCCAGAATAAAGTCGGGAAGTAGAAGTTGAGCGGATACCGATGACGAATACCCGAGGGTAACACCTTTATGATGGCAAAAAAGGTCGGTTTTGTCACACAGCAAGAGGTGAAAGTGACATGAAATGTTATCAAAAACATGACACAAACAATGCAAGTCGAAGGAAAATGCAACCAAAAAAATATAAAGCACTTATGGAGGAAAGGAGTGAGTAAAATAAGTGATAAATTGGCTGCAAACTACTGTACTTCGTCCATGAACGAATAATGGAATGTGAAGCGGGACAATGCAACTGCCAGACAATAACAATGGAGCAACACGTGTATGCAAAGGAGTAGCATAACAAACGTTCCAACAGAGTTGCTATTAAATATGAAGCGGCACGAGCCGCTGCACATGTACTTCCTGTACAGGATGTACGTAAATGCATTTACGTAAGTAAATTCGGCGTCGGGCGACATGAAACACCATTAAACATTAATCATATGAATGGTTTACACGACATTCAATATCACTGTTGAATTAAATTACTTACCACCAGTAACAGAAGCGAGCAAAATAGACATCACTGTAAAATATAATCGGGCTGTCACTAATTTTCGTTTAACTGAGGCAGCGATTCTTCCCTGGTACGTTAACGTTAAACGCTCCAGTTTATGTCCCGCCATTTTTTCTTTGGATTACGGACGTAACATAATTAACCTCCAGAAAGCCGATCCTACGTACGTTACATTACGGTATACGTATACCGTAACGACAGAGCAATGAAATATCCTGGCAGACAAAACCACGAAAACGTAATCACAAATTATTTCAAAATGTAACCGCTATGACACCACATTATAACTGCTAGACTCACAGGTTGTGGCCGAGATTTTTCTTTTATTTTTCTCAATTACTTATATTTAAGACATATGAGGGATTTAAAATTCCCTATGCAGACGTAGCAAACCTCTGGTTTTATCCATAGCCGAGATATTTTAATTGGATGAGAGGAGGGTTAGTCTACCTCAACTGGAGTACAATATTTTGGATAATGTGAACTATGTTAGGACGTTTTTCGGGCGTGTGGCTGGCTAAAAAAGCCACCTTAAAAGAGGAAATTAGCAGAAAGGTTAAATTATGAAAAAAACTACGAGACCAAGCAAGTCAGACATTTTGACAATCATACAACCCGAATAAAACCGGTGAAACACATTGCTTAATAGCTCTCAATGATTCAGAAATTATGTGCTGCAAAGCGTCATGCTGAATCCAGAATTTTTCATCAGAAATATCCATTGAATGACAAGGAATATGCGTCAAATTCGACAAGGAAAGTTAACACGAGCGTCGAAATTGCTGAAAACATGTGTAGGGAACGATTATTAAGGCGGGTTGGGTTTTGTTTAAATAGTCTCCAAGTGCTCCGCTCTTCCCTACTCGTTTTTGTGTTAATGTGTCAAAACTAGTACGTCCCTTCCCGATGGCAACAACCAATTCACCTACCCATAAGAATAAGTAACTGTGTGACTGCATCGACTGGATTGTCCTTTTTACATTTTCGCGAACTAGTTTCCCAATTACGCTTATACACCGCCTTTTGCGCTATATTACTTTCTTTTTGCTTCTTTTTTTACCGTATTGCATAACGTGCGATTCTAAGGATGCTGGAGCTGAGAATTAGCAGGGAGGTTAGCATTATATGGACGTTGTGGTGGTGATGGACGCGGACGAAACCTAGACGGAAGTTGCACAAGGGTAAAGTGGACTATTCTTCAGAGTACTTC